AAGCTATGTACAAATATTATACATTAATTTTAGGCAGATTGTCAGAGAACGAAGGTTTGGTTCTAGATATTTTCATGTAGCAAAGACACATTTAGATCTTAGGCAGTATGTAAATATAATAAACTCTTCTTCGGCAGATGGCTGGAGATTGACATTTTTATCCTACACATATTGTAGCGACAAGGCGATATTTACATCTTATATAGATGGCTAGAGTCCGACAATTTGATCCCAGGCAAATGGCAGTTGCAAGGTGACATTAAGTTCTTATTCAGTGTGTAAGAACCATACACTGATCTTAGGAAGATGCCCACAGAGCGACTGTTTGATCCCAGACATTTTGAAGTTCAAAACGACATTTAGATTGCAGGAAGCGTATAAATGTAATACATTGTACTTAGGCAGATGGATAAAGTGCAACAGTTTGGTTCTAGAAAGTTTGACGAAATGATGTGATTTAGTTTTTAGAAAATTTTAGAAGAAATATGTTTGCCGTTTATTTCAGGTTCCTCTTTCTTTGCAATATTTTCTTGTTGATGTTCCTGTTAGGATATTTCAGTTCTACTAATATGTATGATTAATTATTTTTGTTTATGAGTTTTTTATTGTTTATGTTGTGGTAGGATCCACCTAATTTGCATAGTGGCGTACCGACCATATAAATATGGTTGGTCCCGGGAAGAGACAGAGGAATCAAGAGATTCAACCAGAGACTCTGCCCGACTGCGACTCAGTCAACACATTCTCCAGGAACGGTCTTACCAGGAATATACAAAAGACTATATGTAAATATTTTTTATACTTTCTTGTTTCAATACATTTTGTTCTAAGTACATTTTGTGTTGCATTATTATTCCATGCATTAGTCAAATTTCAACAGTTTACTAATATTCAGCGAATATAACGCGCATGGGTCACTGAAGGTAAAGAGTTCCTGAGGATAGATGAAGGTTGACCTTGGATTGAAAAGGTTAAGATGTAGTGTTCAAGGTATCATCCACGTAGGACTCTGTCCCTTAGAGTAGCGGTTCTTACGAAGAAACTCTCTGAGTAGAACATCCGTCATACTTTATTTTGAGATCCATTTTTAATATTTATATTTAGCAATTAATAAAAAGTTGCATATTTTTCTAAAGATAACTTCGTTTTAGAATATATGTTCGCTTTTCTAGCATTTATAATTTTCAAGTCGATATCTCTTTTATATTTTGTTTTATTTACACCGACGAATTATTTCTTTTTTTCGCAACTGGAAATTTTTGCAGTAAATTAATATTATATATCAACAGAGAGTAAAAATAGAATTGACATAGTAATGTAATCATTGAGAACCCCGACCTCAGTAACAAAAGTGAAATTGCTAACAACACAATCTTATTGCACATATGTAAATTATCTGACACTTTGAGACACGAAGCAATTAATTTGTAACCTCGCCTTGATCTCGGTCACATAACCGTTGATCCCATTAAGGGATCCTTCCATCCTAGCGGTTGAACTCAGTATAGAAAGACATTCACTAAACAATCGTATGTCATGGCCGCACTGAATATGCTGCAAGTAGTTCAGTCCCATGGGAAGATTTAGTCTGCAGCCAGTCGATAATAATCGCTGTAATTACTAAAAGCGAGACTTGTATTATTTTTTCTCTTCGCACATTACTCTGACTAATAACTGGTTTCCAGAGATAATATTTAGTCTCTGGGGATATTCATTTATCCTATCCTGGACTCCAAACATCTAAGTCTTTTCTTATAAAAGTTTTCCATAGAGAAAATATTGTTGTCAGCAAAGGGAAAATATCCAAGATACGAACTATTGTTTGGAGATCTCAAAATCACAGGATGGTAATTGAAATATCGAAATCGGAACGCGCATTAGATTATCGAAATATACATTTGAAAAGTTAAATAAAGTACTAAGAAACTGAAAAGAATAGAAAAAGAAAGAAGAATGTCGAGAACTGCTATTTCATAAGTTATATGGCAGTGGATTCTGGATAATGTCCTCAAAGATGGAGAGACAAATGAAGGTAAAACATATGATTCTCCAGAAGAATGATGAGAATGTCATGAACGGAACGCATAAGTAACACAAAGAATATGGAAATAAAAAGGACACTTATATTCTGAATCAGAGAGAAACAGCAGAACTTTCAAGGGCACGTAATAAAGGATTAGAGGCTTGAGAATTTAACACTCACAGGACATATTGAGGACAGGGAGGACAGCGGAAGTCATCGGGCCACCTACTTGGTTATTGGGTGTGAATAGATGGCGAAAAGGGGACGAGTTTTAGCAAAGGGACCAACGCTGGGCTGAAAGATAGGACATGGTGGAGGGCCTTGATCACACGTGATCTGAAAGGATACAACGCATAGAAGAAAACAGGCTGTATGTGTAGCTATGGACCAGAGTCTTCTACATTGTGTTAGATTGCAATTGAGTCGATAAGATTTTATCTGCTCTTGGACAGGTCTTCCAACGTTTAACCAACTTCCTTACGAGAAACATCTTGTGATTGAATCAGAATCGTTGATAACTTGACCACGTGGCAAGTAGGACTGGGTCACATGGCATCAGTCACATTCGTAGAGACATCAGACATAAAAAATCAATATACGGCAAAATTTTATTTTCATTATATGCAGAAGTTTAAGTTATTTAAACAAATTTATAATGATTTTAAGTTCTACAAATGCATTTGTTAAAATAATGTTAATATATGAATTCGTAATTAACTTGTCTTTCCTCAAAGGTCTCATGAATTCAAGTCAAGATATCATGTATAATATGTGAGTCATATTAAACATTCGGCACCGATACTCATCCAAGTATACGGACAACCTGGGAACAGTGGCCCAAGAGCCATGTTTGAAGAAATTTTGGTGGGATTTACAGTAACCGTTTAGTAATTCATCGAACCCAGAATAATCTTCAAGAGAATGCAGTAAGCATATATATATATATATATATATGAATGTCCTCGTCGAAAAGAGATAAACCTAAATAAAACCTAAATGAAGGCGTAGAATTATCCCCAAAACAGAATAATTACTAAACTATAAAGGCTGCAAAATTGATTACAAAGCGACTTACGACCAGATTGACTTAGGAGCGCTTAGTCGTAACCACTCTTGATTGTAAGACGGAGACGTCCTATATATATATATATATATATATATATATATAGGTGAACTTTGTTTGAAAATTTCCAAAGATGACAGGCTGTTTCATGCTAGACGCAATCGTCAGGTCACCTGTCGTCGTGTTGACTTCAATGTTCACTTTTTTATTTCTTTTACATACGCTCTATCTCAGATATTGAGCACTTTATCCCATAATTATATCACACCTTAAAACTATAATTCTTCATATATATATATATATATATATATATATATATATATATATATATATATATATATATATATATAAATTCAATAATAATAAAATTTGATATTTAATACACCCAAGCGCGCAACACACACACACACATATATATATATATATATATATATATATATATATATATAAATATTTATATGTATGTATATGTGTGTGTGTGTGTGTGTGTGTGAAAATATATAGAAAATAGGAAAGAACTGGTTAGGTTAATAATCCAAAGTTCCTTAGTATTTTTGTTATTATTTTTTAAAAATAGTGCTCGATGCAAAAAGTACACCATAAATATAATTATTTATTTAAAAATATGATTCCAACTCATATAAGATTTCCATGGTAACAGCTAGGGCGAATTGTTTAAATAGGAGGGGGTGTTGAGTGTTAATAATTAGTATCAGTATACTTTTTATTATTTAGAAACTTAATAATGTTCAGTTTCTCATGGAGGCACATTATTAAGTTTCTAAATAATAAAAATCTATTAAACAATAAACATGAGTTAACGGTGTTTTTGCCGACATCATCAAATTTATGCACTGAATTATTAGCTAAAAACAAGCATACAATATAATAACTTTTATAATCCATAGCCCAGATAAATAGTTTAAATACCCTACAATAAAAGATAACCCTTTATTTTCGTCTAAAACAAAATGTTACGGCAGTTTTTTTTATATGCACAAATCCCTTTTAAAGAAATAAAATAAAAAAAAAATTTTTCTCCATAGACACGTAAGCCAGACTAGGCTAAAACATCTCCGTTTCAAATTTAGACAACCCCACCTTACCCTGACTTGACATCTATGAAAGTAACTCTATACTGATACTTATTATTAACATCCAACACTCCCCTCCTATTTAGACAATCGCCATGGCTGTTACCATGGAAATTTTGATTTCAATAATGAATAGGCTATTAAAATCATATTTGTAATAAAAAAATCGGTTTTCTTTCATTTGTCATTGGCATGAGGGCATTATAAATTCAGCTCGCTTCAGGTGAGTTTCAATTTTCTTTCCAGTAATTTCCTTCTTCAAACTCATGGCTAGTCCGTTGGCTTTCAGGAATAGACTGAATGGCGGTTAGGAACAGACTAACAGACACCTGGAAAGACAGGGGACGCTGGGAAAGACCAGATGATCTCACCGGGTCAGCAACCCAGAGTTCATTAAAATAACGCTAAAAAGGATTATAAAAGGAAATGCCCTCAGGATTCACCGAAAGGGAGGGAGGATGATGAATCCAAACGGAATAATCGGCAACGACCCCGCAATGAAAAAAAAAACCATGAATTTAGAAAAGTGCACGGACTTCCCATGTGTTTGCGGTCGGAAATTCAGGTCCCAAAAGGGAGCGAAGATTCACCTTACAAAAATGGGTTGTGCTTCTCTGAAAACGGTTCAGGAGCAGCGCTCTGTCAACACAGATAAGACGTCGGAAAACCAATGCCAGGATGCATACCACAAAACTGAGGATATCCAAGCTGTTGAATCAAAAGGATGGGACGCAACCCAAACTGCCAAGAATCAAATTTCCACCAGCATCGAACTCGGAAGCGTGGTGTATGCTAGACAACATCATTAGCAAGACATTACGTAAAGAGCTGGGAAGAAAGAAATATCACGAACGTTTGAACGAAAGTAGTAAAATAATCTACAGGGTTTGTAAGGAAATCTACGGCGTGAAGGAGGAAAATGATAAGCCACCACCCAAAAAGAACAGGCGTCAACGGTTAATGCAAGATTTGAGAAACAAAAAAAAAAATCTAAAACGACAAATCCGTTTCGCAAATTTTGACGAGAAAGAAGGCTTGCTTAAAATCTGGCAGGACCTTAAAGAGAAACACAACGCTCTTCGCAGAGCTGAAAATTTGAGAAAGAGACGAGTGAAACGAAAGAAAGACCAAGAGCGTTTCTTCCAGGAACCGTACAAATATTCGAGGAATATATTTGATCAACCAAGATCAGGTGTACTTAAAATAGAGGAAAATGTTCTAGTGGAACATTTAAGAGGTACGTACTCTGATCCTAAACGACATATTCCTCTAGATCATAATAGCAACTTATTTTGGCCGGCTAAAGTGAAGTTTGATATGAAACCACCCACACGCGAAGAAATAAAACGCATAGTCGACAAAAGTAGAAATAAATCTGCACCTGGCCCTAACGGAATACCTTTCCTTCTGTACAAAAAATGTCCCACTCTTCTTAAATGGTTGCATACTAACTTAAAATTAGCATGGAAAAATTACCATATCAGCCAACAGTGGATGATAGCGGAAGGGTGTACATACCCAAAGAAAAGAATTCCAGGACATCAGTCAATTTCGGCCAATTTCGCTTCTCAATGTAGAAGGAAAGATATTTTTCGCAGTTTTGGCATCGAGGTTGACCAAATACCTTCTCGATAATGAGTATATCGATACGTCAGTACAGAAAGGTGGTGTTCCAGGAATAGCTGGTTGCTTAGAGCATGGAAACATGATCTGGGAGGCCATTCAAAAAGCAAAAATTAAAAGAAAAGATTTGGATGTCATTTGGTTGGATTTAGCTAATGCCTACGGATCAGTACCTCACCAAATGATACAATTATCATTACAAATGTACCATATTCCTGAGGAAATATCTATTATGCTAGGAACTTATTTTGATGGTTTCCTCATGCGTTTCACTACAAAAGACTTTACGACTAAGTGGAACAGACTTGAAGTTGGAATTGCGATGGGATGTACAGTGTCACCAATACTTTTCGTTCTAGCAATGGAACTGATTCTCAAAGCGACAAACAACAAGGCTGATGAGCATTGGTGGAGGTTGTCAAATGCAACCAGTGAAAGCGTTCATGGATGACACTACAATCCTCTCATCCAAAATAAGTTCAACTCGCAAGATATTAAGCTTGATGGACGACCTGATAAGTTGGTGTAGGATGAAATTTAAACCAAACAAGTCTTTCTCTTAGAAAAGGAAAGTTGAATAAAAACACAAATTTTGTAGTAGGTGGCCTACTGTATCAGAAAAACCAGTGAAAAGTTTAGGTCGTTGGTACGATCAATCCTTAAAAGATACCAGCCAAGTAAAAAAAACATCCAGGTCATTACAAGAAGATCTCCATAAGATAGATCTTTGTCCTCTAAAAGGAAAATACAAGGTATGGTGCTTAGAGCATGTGCTCATTCCAAAGCTACTATGGCCCATACTCGTGTACGAATTTGGAATGAGTACAATTGAGTCAATGGAAAGGAAAATAAACAAATATATCCGAAAATGGTTGGGTTTGCCTCCAGGTTTGTCTGATATCGCATTGTACTGCAGACAAGCAAAGCTAAAGTTGCCATTTAAATCGATTGTGGAAGAGTATAAATCCGGAAAAATTAGACTTCAAATGGTGTGGATGATTCCAAGGATAAAGCAATAAAAGCTTTAAAGTCTACGTTAAAAACAGGGAGAAAGTGGAAGGTCAGAGAGACGATAACAAGTGCTAAAGACAATCTAGCTTTCAATGAAGTCATCGGATACACTCAAGCAGGGAAACAAGGGTTAGGACTAAATGAAAGGCAATGGTGGTCGAAATCTTCTGGTAAAGATCGCCGTGACATGGTCATCCAAAATGTGATGAAAGAAGAAGATAAAAAAAGACTCGTAAAAGGAGTACAACAATCCCAACAAGGCCAATGGACAAACTGGGAGGAGGCTCTTCAGAAATCTATTACGTGGAAGGACATTTGGCAGATGGCTCCACTTAGGTTGAGTTATTTAATACGTTCCACGTATGACCTGCTACCATCTAAGAACAATCTTGTTAAATGGAAGAAAGAGAGTGATCCCACTTGTCCCCTGTGTGGGAAAAAAGCCACAAACATTAGAACATGTTCTTAGTTCCTGTAAAACAGCCCTTGTCAATGGCAGATATACATGGAGGCACAATAGTGTTTTGGATGAGCTGGTCAGAATCATAAAGAAATATATGAAGTCTGAGTCATCTAATTCAGCCCAGGAATTTGTTGCAGAAGGAAAAAGATATGTCGGCTCTAAGCAAACAAGCAAATGTCATGCTATACCCGGAAAAAATCTCCTTAGTTCTGGTGGCATCTGGGAGGTATCTGCAGACCTTCCTGGTTGGCGTAATGATTACCCCAAAATAATATCAAGTAAAGGTCTGCGACCAGATATTGTTCTTCTGTCAAGAGTGAACCATAAAATCATCCTGGTTGAGTTAACAGTACCATATGAATGCCGGATGGAACAAAGCCACGATTATAAAACTAATAAATATGAAAATCTAAAGTCAGAGCTAATAAAGGAGGGGTATAATGCAATTGTTAGAGCAGTGGAAATTGGAGCAAGGGGTTTCGTTTCAGGCACTCTGTACAAATTTCTGGGCCAAATTGGAATCAAAGGGCGTAATAGGGCCAAGAGTATAAAACGCCTAATAGAAGTAACAGAAAATAGTTCTATGTGGATATGGAAAAAACGAAATACTCCGTGGAGTGTTTCAGCGAACATGACGGCATGACATGTCTGATCGTGAATGCGTAATGAGGTTCACGTTGCATTCTCAGAACGCAAGGTTTGCCGTTTTTCGGAATTTTCGTAAATTTAATTTCGCCGTTACACATTTGAACTAGTTTATCTACAACACTTGTATATCGTTATAATGGGGCCTCACATCAGTGAGGGGGGCCGGTGTGCAACTGAAACCGTTGAGAGGAAGGCCCCGAAACGGTTATATTCTCTCCTGATGACCCCAGTTTAAAATTCGAGAGGAACACATCAAAATTCAGTGAAAATCATATGCCGTAGAGAAGCTCGGTGGAAGTGTCATTGGCATGAGGAGCATTATAGATTCAGCTCGCTTCAGGTGAGTTTCAATTACTTTCCAGTAATTTCCTTCTTTAAAACACGTAAATTTCAGAAATAAGTTATTCCAAAAAATTTCGCTTGAAGATGGAACAGAGCTTATTAAACTCAATTTAATTCAAATAAATATATTGAAGTTTTCGGCTCTTGTTTTGAAACATGAGACCTCTTATTATATATATATATATATATATATATATATAAGTTTTAATACAAATATAAAATTTGTCATTTAGTTGATTGATGTTAAATAAACCCCCACTCACAAATATACACACACACATATATATATATATATATTGATATATATATATATATATATATATATATATATATATATATATATATATACATATACATACATACGTAGATAGATAGATACATACATACATACGTAGATAGATAGATAGATACATACATACATACATAGATAGACAGAGAGATAGATATTTCTACTTCTTGTTACAAGAAAGGCCATCTATTCAACATACATATATATGTATATATATATATATGTGTGTGTGTGTGTGTGTCTGTGAGTGTGTGTCTGTGTGTGTATGTACTGTGTTGAAACTTAGCTCGCCATCGTGTTTTAGTTCATGCAACAAAAATTTATGTTACCAATGTTTGGTAGCACATGCTTTGATCAGCACAGACTGTACTTCCAGCCCAGGTATTTAATTAAAACTTCAAAGTGGTTTAATTTTTTTTCGTTTATTGTACACCTAATTCCCCACACAGTGTTTCACCTTAAGACCCAACCAACGGATTTCATCCAAAAGTTTTCATGAATATTTTATGTACTTTCAAAATCTCGCTATTTATAATGGCCAATCTATAATATATTGCGATTTTTAATCCTATTAATATTCTTATCCTTTCTCGTCATTATCTGAAGAAATTAAATAACGATGCCTTTATTTTATTAAAATCTATTTTTCCTCGTTTTTAAATTATTGGTGCACATTTTAATTGATAATTTTGATTATATTCTTCGTTTATTTTTCCGACAACACACTGCGTCTAACTGATTCTCATCGGCAATGAGATATCGAATTTCCGTCAGTGATTTTCATATTCACAGCCTATCAAGAAGTTCAGAAAATTTGTGTATGGAACATTCGTCTAAGGAACACTAGTCTAAGGAATATTGGTCTAAGTAATATTGATTTAATAAATTTGGTCTAATGAACACACGTCTAAAATTCTAGTGGAAGAAATATTCGTTTTGAGTCTAATGTGGTTTGCATTAATTTGCAGATAAACCACATGCATAATCAATAATTAATGTTGCTATATATGTCTTAAATATTATTCGTAATATCGTGAATATCAATAAAATTGAGTATTTTGTACATGAATAAAGTGTTAATATATTTAAAAAAATATTATTATAGACCAATGTTCTTTAGACGAGAAATCCTTAGACAAATATCCTTTGAAAGGTTTTCCTTAGACCAATATTCTTTTGAGGAATGTTCCTTAGACTAATGTTTCTTAGACCAATATTGTTTAGACAAATTTTCCTAGTTCTCCAAATAATGCAATTTCGATAAACAATACAGATTACCTTTTGTATACGCTGTTTTTTTTTTATCAAATATCTTTATAAGATTTATTGGAAAAAGACAAAAAAAAAAAACAATTTTTATATAATTGCGCAAAGAACTGTCACTTAGATACATTTGATCCCCAGGCTGTATTAATAGCACACTTACTTTATATCATGAGATATTGTTTGTATTCAATGTTTATTATCCTAAATGATTCAAGGTTTATTCATTTAATGTTTTAAAAGTTTTCTTAGCAATGTTTTGATCACTACTATTTGTAAAGGGATATTTCTGGCAACGTACTTGACTGCATCTTCTACCCCTGAGCTATCAGCGCACGGTATAGAGGATGGCGGATTATTACGTACTTATTCTTTGAACAAACCCGCCAATGACTCAATTCAGAGAAGAGCTTTGCATTATTAGCATTAGTGGTCAATATTTACAAATTCGCGGTTTCTCTTAAGAGTTCTCGACCTGAATTAAATTTTCCGAGGGCATATATATTATCATCTACAGATAGAGTGTTTAGCTTTATCACTGCTCATCAGACATTCGAGTGCCTGAAGGCGGCATCGAAACCCGAATTGCCAGCGGTTGAAGATTCTGCCCCTGAGCTATCAACACCTTTTGTTATAGAAGAAGGTGGATTTTTTAGCGCTCAATTTATAAGAGCTATGCAGAATTAGGAGCATATATATATATATATATATATATATATACCATAGGATGTAAAACAGTTGGACGACAGAGTGTTTATTTTAATGGTGTACTTGCATTATTTTAGTTTACCAACCGCTGTGCCTATTTACATTTATATCTTGATCAGACTAGGGGGTTTTCAGTTAACCTTCGTATGATGGTCTCTTCATATATATGATGTTGAAAAATTCAGCTCAGTCCTAGAACTAAACAATCAAACTATTCGCACATATAATTTCATTATAGTGATGAGGGCTTGGGCACATTTTGAAAAATGCATTTCCAATAATTTAAATTCATTCTTTAAGCATAAACTTCAGTTCTGAAAACTAAGAAAAGAAAAATTGATTTCTTTATGAAAATAAACTTATTAGGCATTTCTAAAATCTTGGCACGTTTCCTTGTTATTCATTTACTAATGGAAATGCCATTTTATACATAAAATGTAAGCAAGAAATTTAAAATTATCTTTAAAATTAAATATTGGTCACAGAGATGTGTTTCAAAGTCTATTAGTACATTTTAGGATTGACTGGATATGTCCAAAAATAATGATTACCATTTACTTAAAACAGAGTGAAGATAACGTTTTATTTGCTCACAGTAGCGAGCGAGGTCAAAGAACCAGATAAAACTACAGTAATTTCTCTCCTGCCCGAAAAATCGCGCGAACAGGTAAAAATAATACCTAAAAGAATACGAAAGACCAGCAGTGCGATAATGATTTTTTTTCTATTTATGTTTAAAAATAATTATTTCTTTAAGATTATACAACCAATAATTAAAAAAATATAATTTATAAATCTACATGCTTTTATTAAAGTAAGTATAATCAGTTAGTAAGGCCTAAACAAAGATATAGCCTAAATGTAATTAATAGGAAATAAAAATATTTATTCTAAGAGAAAATTTCAGAAAAAATGAGAGCATAAATATTTTTTATGCGAACAAAATAGTTTCGTCGTAATTTTCTAAATTAGCCAGCGAGATGAACAAATAATGAAAATGAAAAAATAATGCATATATCTGTTTCTTGAAATAATACAAACTGAATGACGAGAAGGAACAAACTGATGAATCAGGCATTTAATGATATATATATATATATATATATATATATATATATATATATATATATATATATATATATATATATATTATATATATATATATATATATATATATATATATATATATATATATATATTATATATATATATATATATATATATATATATATATATATTATATATATATATATACTATATATATATATATATATATATATATATATATATATATATATATATATATATATTATATATATATATATACCTTATATATATATATATATATATATATATATATATATATATATATATACTATATATATATATATATATACTATATATATATATATATATATTATATATATATATATATATATATATATATATATATATATATATATATATATATATATATATATATATATATATATATATATATATATATATATATAACAACGTTTAATTAATGAAGTATACCTGTTTATTTTAAGCATAAAAGAATCTGTAAATAACTGCACGAAAAAAGACACGCAAAACAAAAACGAACACTGGTAACGTTGGATTGGAAAACAGTGCTTTCTAGAAATAAAAGCTGACTGAATGCGAGATATGAAATTAAATTAATTTCATAATACGCTTCTGATATTGAATAGGAGTCGCTGAAAGTGAGATATCAAAATTATGACGTTTTTCTACTTCCATACAAAAAATAATCTAACGGTTCCTCTCAAAAAGATAAACATTCCTCTCAAAAAGTTCCTCTCAAAAAGATAAACATTCGAAATCAGCAATAAACTTTACACCTTTTCAATCTTTAAATAAGTCTTTATTTAATTTAAAGAATTCTTGTGTCGATGTACAACGGGATGAATTTCAAAATTGCACTGAATTGCACAAGTAATTTTTTTAAATATTAAGTGTAGATTTCCCTGTCTAGTATGAAAGAAAATAACGTGTCATCTTAAATTATGCAGACACTAGTTCTCAAACAGATAATATTTTTTTGAGTTTTATTGAATTATTTTTGGCAGGATGCAAGTCGAAATTTCCGTATGTTCAAACAAATAAATAATATCTTCAGAGTTTTTCTTTATAAAACTTTTTAAAAATTAGGCAATGAGCTACCAAATGGAGAGTTGAAACATGTTAAAAATAACCAAATGTTTTTAATATAATAACCTATTATTAAAACATTCATACATTAATAACTATATAGTGAATATGTTTGTTTGAATCGGATAATTCCCTGATATTTGGAGAATATTACAGAACATGGGGAGGCGATTTTTTTTTTCATTTCGTACATAATATATATATATATATATATATATATATATATATATAAAAAATATAGTCTTAAGATGTGTGATATTTATGGGATAAAGTGCTCAATATCAGAGATAAAGGGTGTGTAGACATAAAAGTGAACATAGAAGTCAACACTTAGAGGCGACAGACTGTTTCATGCTAGTTGCAATCGTCAGGCCACACACACATATATATATATATATATATATATATATATATATATTACTTCAAACTTTAGGGGATAGTATATATATTACTTCAAACTTCAGCGGATACTATTTATTATAGGGATACTCGGTATATTGCTCTTTTTTAATGTATAATAAACTATAGTCTCAATTATTTTTTCAGTTTCTGTTTAAACATTATATATCAGGCATATACAGACAACTACACCTCGTATGTTTCCTGTACACCGTGCATACATATATTCATTTGATTTACACTAACAATAATGCCGAAAATTTCACGGTTTTCTTATTTGGATTTTCTGATGAATATTTATTCTTCATTTAATGACTCAATAAGCTAACTATATACTCATGGAAATTTATCACATGTGAACATTTGCCATTGAAATAGTCATAAAGAAGCGAGATTCTTGCAACCTATTGTCTGTACGAAAGAATTTGTGTAATGCAGAATGCGTCTTTTTTCGCGAGACGGTATATGTCATTTGGAACATTGTGTGGACTGGGCTGCTCCAGTCCAAAGATGACATCTATAATACGTTCTTGTTTTCGTCTGACTATTGAAAAGAGAAAGTGATCATTTTCCAATAACTTAGCAATAAATTGTAATTACTTGCATAATTTTAGATTATTC